TCTCCTATCAGTGGACACTTTGGCAGCCTCTGCTTCTTGGTGGTTGAACAGGCTGCTGTGAACACTCCTGTGTAAACATGTGCTTAAACACTTGTTATTGATTCTTTGAGATATGAACCTGTACAGTATAGGTGGAATGCCTGGGTTTTATTTATGTTTGACAGAGGCTCTCACTACATAGCCCAGTATTGCTACCAAACCAATTCACTTTTAACTTTTTTACATTTAATATTTATTTATTATTTATTTATTTTTGGTCTTTTTGAGACAGGGTCCCTCTGTATCCCCAGCTGTCCTGGAACTCAGGAGGAGAAGTCAAATGAATTTCTGAGGCTCAGTGGTCAGCCAGTCTAGCCAAATTGGCAAGCTCCAGGTTGAACCCTTGTCTCAAAGAATAAGGTTGAGTGGCTGGAGAGGTGACTCAGCGGTCAAGAAGAGTGACTGCTCTTGCAGAGGATCTGGGTTCTGTTTCTAGCACCCATATGGCAACTAACTATCCTTAACTCCAGTTCCAGAGGATCCCACGCCCTCTTCCTGTCTCTGTGGGCACTGCATGCACAGGTATGCTTACATACGTGCAAACAAAACACTCATACACATAAAATAAAAATAGGGCTGAGAGATGGCTCAGCGGTTAAGAACACTGGTTGTTCTTGCAGAAGACCCAAGTTCAAATCCCAACACTCACATGGCAGCTAACAACTGTCTGTAACTCCAGTCCTAGGGGATCCGACAGCCTCTTCTGTCCTCCTCTGGCACTGCATGACATGGGTGCACTTACTTACATGCAGGCATAACACTCATACAGATAAAATAAAATAATAAATAAATAAACACTGGTTGTTCTTGCAGAAGACCCGGGTTCGAATCCCAGCACCCACATGGCAGCTAACAACTGTCCGTAACTCCAGTTCCAGGGGATCTGACAGCCTCTTCTATCCTCCACAGGCACTGCACGACAGGGGTGCACTTACCTACATGCAGGCAATACACGCGTACACATAAAATAAAAATAATAAATAAAATATTTTAAAAAATAAATAAAGTAAAATAATAAGCCAGGTGTGGTGGCTCACGCCTTTAATCCCAGCACTTGGGAGGCAAAGGCAGGCGGAGCTCTGTGAGTTCAAGGCTAGCCTGGTCTCCATAGTGAGTTCCAGAACAGCTGAGGCTACAGGGAGACCCTGTTTCAAAAAGACAAAAACAAACAAACAAATAAATAAATAAATAAATAAATTTTAAGATGGAAAGATATAGAAGACAGTTGACCTTGACCTCTGATGAAGGCTCATCCACCCAACATGTGCACACACACAAACCTAATACAGAAAAAGGAGGAGGGGGAGGGGCAGGAGGAGGAAGAGGAAGAAGAGGAAGAAGAAGCCCCAAACCTTGAGGAGGAGGAGGAGGAAGAAGAAAGCCAAACCTTGGCCTGGCAAGATGACTCAGCAGGTAAAGGTGCTTGCCACTAAGCCTGATGACCTGAGTTCAATCCTAGGCCCAGGTGGTAAAAGAAAATAATTGGCTGTCACTTGTCTTCCTCTGACCTCAATGTGTTGTAGCATGGGAATACCATGTCCCAAATAAATAAATGCAAAATAATTTAAAAAAACCTTTCCTGTGACTCCACCACCTTTCCGTATAATTTCCAGCAGCACATTCTTGCCAATACTTTTTTTTCCTGTGGTCCTTGGGGTGGAATCCAAGGCTTCACCCATGCCAAGCACACACTCTAGCACTGACTCATGCCACTCTCACAGTTGTACCAAGCTGCCTTTAAGCCTGCCTTTTACTGTCCCCTCCCCCTTAACACAATAGTGCATCTGCAGTGATACATCCCTGTCTGGGTGAGGCTGTGGCCCTTAACTATCCAGAGACTTGAATCCAGAGGCTGGACAGATGGCTCAGTGGTTAAAAGTTCACACTGCTCTGGCAGTGAACCCAAGTTCAGTTCCCAGCACTCAGGGCAGCTCACAACTACCTGTAGCTCCAGTTCCAAGGGAAGCTGATGCTTCTGTGGGCACCTGCTTATACAGATACACATGTACACATAATTTAAAAAAAAAAACTTTAAGAAATATTTTATTACTTTTTATGTGTATGAGTGTATTGCCTGCATGTGTGTAAGTGCACACATGTTGTACGATGCCTGTGGAGGTCAGAAGAGGGCGAGTTGGATCCCCTGGAACTGGAGTTATAGACAGTTGTTAGCCACCATGTGGGTGCTGGGAATTCTGGGTCCTCTGAAAGAGCTGCCAGTGCTCTTAGCCACTAAGCCATCTCTCCAGCCCCATTATAAAACAAAACGGAGCCTGGTATGATGGCGCACACCTTTAATCCCAGCACTTGGGAGGCAGAGGCCGCTGGATCTCTGTGAGTTCAAGGCCAGCCTGGTCGACATAGTTCCAGACCAGCTGGGGCTACAGGGAGACTGTTTCAAAAAGACCAAAACAAAACAAAACTAACCTCAAACTTTCATGGTTTGAATCCATGTCCCTGTGATTGCCTACTGAGTGCACTCCCTATGGTTAGAACTAATAGAAATGTAACTATTTGGCAATTGCATATGGTTGACAGTGGTACCCATGTTCATGAAATGTAGGCTTTAGATGTTGTTGTATGGGCTTGTGTCTGTATGATATTTTGTAATGTACAGCAACATGCATAACTGTATCATTGTATATTTGTGAGTAGCCATGTGTGGCCATGTTTTTATTTTTTTGAGGCAGGGTAGCCCAGGCTGTCCTTGAACCCACTATGTAGCTGAAAAATACCTTGATATGTGTATGAATGTTTTGTCTGCATGTATGAAAGTGTACCACATGCATGTGAACCCTCAGAGGTCAGAAGAGGGCACTGGATCCTTTGGAACTAGAGTATCAGATGGTTGTTAGCTATCACGTGAGTGTTGGGAACTCTAGAAGAGCAACCAGTGCTTTTAACCACTGAGCCATCTCTCCAGCCCTGGACATTGAACTTCTAACCCTCTTGTTTCCACCTCTTGAGTGTTGGGATCACATGCCCAGTTTATGCAGTTGGAACCTAGGGCTTCATGCATGCTAGCAAGCATTCTACCAACTGAGTCACATCCCCAATACCCATGTTTGTTTTTGTGTCTGAGGTTATCTGTGTATCTTTAATAACTTCAATGACAATATATGCAGGAATTCCCATGAGACTGCTAGGTGTGGTCAGCCTGTAAGTGGGAATGCACACCTGTGATTGTTTCAGCACCTGTCATGAATTATGTCTGCAGGATTGCCTGTCTATATCACAAATTGCTAGACAAAACAATATAACAACTATATAGCACAGTGCATCTGGTATTATAATTAAAGATGATTTAAAGTATATGGTAGAGCTAGCTGGGTGTGGTAGTGTTCACCTGTAAGCCAGCACTCAGGAGCCTCAGGCAGGAGGCTCACGAGTTTGAGGCCAACCTGGCTACGTAGTTAGATTGTTGTATGAACTTCCATTGGGGAGACAGGAACAAGTGTCTGTTCCCCACAAAATGGGCAGCAAAAGCAGACTCCCCTCCTTCTATGAGGGAGTATCAAAGGATCAACCTTGAGGGTCACTCACATGTCCTCATAACTGCTGTAATGAAGATAATGGCCTTGTGGTGTTCTATAACAGAGATCATCTCAAACAAATAGGGGGTGGGGATGTGGCTCAGTTGGTAGAGTGCTTGCCCAGCATGCATGAAGCCCTGGGGTCCATCCCCAGCACAAACTGGGTGTCATCCTCAGTTACGTAGTAAGTTTGAGGCTAGCCTGGAACATATAAGACCTTGTCTAAATAAGTTAGCTGTGGACAGGTTCTACACAAGTACTATATTTTTTTCTTCTTCAGTACTGGAAACTGGATCCAGGACCTTGTGAATACTGGGCAAGCCCATTTTACTTTTTATTTTGAGGCAGGGTCTAAGGGGCTCAGACTGGCCTTGAACTCTGTAGTCCAATTAGGCCTTGAACTTGTGATCAGCCATCCTTGTTCTGAGTATCTGGGATTACAGGCCTGCAACATCAGCCCCAGTTTCCTGTGCCATTTTCTATTAAGGGACTTGTGCATCCCTTGTAGATACTGATCGATGACTGTACATGTGTGAGTCCATGGTCGAGGAATCAGGAAAAACTTGTGTCTCTCTGTAACATGTGGCTGTGTGTGTCCGTGTCCTCTACCCTACCCTGCCCCCCATGGCACCAGAATGGAGGTCTCAGAACTGCAGGTGCCCCAACCAGCAGTTGAGGCTCCATCTAATGGTCCCAACCCACCCAGAAGTTTTGACCACCAGGCAGGTGCCCCTGAGGCTCCATGCAGTGCCCAATAAGGGCCCATGGTGGGTAACAGTGGGCTGATTTGACAGGTTTCCTCTTGCCAACCAGCTCAGACCCCAGGAGCTCACAACTCAGGCAATTCAAAGCCAAGCAATTTGTGGATCCAACCCCCAGCCCTCCTGCTTATGAAGGGACAGAACTATGGCTGTTCTGGGCCCCCACCTGATAGCAGCCTGCAACATCTGGTGTGTCTGATAATGCCTGGAAGGAGCTCTTGCCAAATCCCGCCATCAGCACTGTGCACCGTTGCTGCTGTCTGTTGGGAAGGGAAAGGGCTGTAGAAACCCAGTTGGGGGTCAAGGGGTCCCAGAGACCCTTCCCAAGATATCTGTCCTTCCTGTCACCCCTTCTCCAGGAAGATAGACTGAGATTAGACTGCAGGGGCCTTTCAGTTCTTCATGGGATTCAGCCATCTCTTAACCCTGCCCCTGAACCCCCAACCTTGGAACCCCCAACCCTTGAAATCTGATTTGGCTTTAAATATAGGGTTGGTTTTTAGGGACCAATCCTAAACAGGCCAAGGTGAGATCTGTTCCCTTGAAAGTGGACACCCTCCTAACACTCCCCCCTCCCTCCTTGCCTGGGTCTTATCGGGGAAGACAGCCAATCCACTGAGGGCAGAGAGGAGCCCTCCAAGGCCCCCCCCTAAGAGCCGCATAGTCCATGAGGCAGAAGAGGGAGAGGGGGCCTGAGGCCCAGGGTGGGCACCAGCCAGCCATGGCTGCAGCTGAGACGGTCTTGCCTTCTATCAACATGCTTACCACCCTGGGCCCGTTCCTGGATGCACAGGAAGACTTCCTTAAGGTGGGGCCAGTGAAGGACAGATGGTTGCACTAGGACCCAGGGCTATGCCCACAGTGCTTGAGGAGTTAGGCCTCTATCTTACTTAGGTATCCTCCTCTGCATAGGTTGGGGGGGTCTGGTTTTGGGGTGCTGATGTAGGGGTCTGAAGTCAAGGTGGGGTCTATGTCTGTGAGCTTAGTGCCTTAAAGCTCTAAGTTCAAAGGGACAACATCCTAGATAAAGGTATCCCGGGATTCCACGGTTTAAGATTTAATCTTGTTGGGAGATGGGGAAAGGCTGGTAAGGGTAGGGGTGGGGTACACTGAGTCAAGCTTGCCCCCATCGTCCCATCCTGAGTTCTGCCATCCCTTCCCCCATTCTGAATGCGGTTCTTGATAATGCAAGTCTTATCTGTCTTCAGTCAGCCCTGATGGACTAGTCTGGAGTTGAGAAGGGGTTTAGGGGTACACTGTGGGGGAGTGATAGACAAACCCCCTTTCCAAAGCCTCTGACCAGCCTGCCCCATTGGGGTCTCCAGCCGGGACTGCACCAGGGCAAGGTAACCCGGTGCCCAACCTTCAAGCGGGGCGATCCCTCCTGCAGTGGTGGCGCTCCGACGAGACACAGGACATGGGCCCGGGTCCCCCAGATCCCACGGAGCTGCCTCTTCACGTGAGCCTGAAGTCGGAGGACCCTCCAAGAGAGGACGAGGACGATGAGAGGTACCCGACCTGTGCCTGGGATCCAAATGTTTTCCTCGCCAACTTCCCAGGTCCGAAGCTTCCTGGAGCGCCCGAGACCTGCGCTCCGGCGCCCTGTGAGGGTCCAGTGGCACAATACCTGCCGCCGCCGGAGACTCTGGGCGCGTATGTGGGTGGCCCGGGGTTGGTGGCTGGGCTTTTGGGTCCCGAGGAACAAGAGGCCTGGGCGCACCCAGCCCCGCGAGCCCCAGTCCCTGACCCCTTCGTGGCCCCAGCCCTGGCCCCGGCATCCGAGCCCAAGGCGTTGCCAGTGCAGCCGTCGTACGCGGAGTCGGGGTTGGGGTCGGCTGGTGGCTACTATCCGCGGACCGGGTTCCCGGTGCCCACGGCGCCGGGCACCTCCTACGGGCTGCTGTCGGGGTACCCCGCGCTGTATCCCGCGCCGCAGTACCAAGGGCACTTCCAGCTCTTTCGTGGGCTGGCGACACCTTCGGCCGGCCCCGCCGCGCCCCCTTCCTTCCCGAATTGTCTGGGCCCGGGTACAGTGGGCACGGGACTCGGAGGCGCTGCGATCGCAGGAGAGCCAGGCCTGATCCCAGAAGCCGCTGCGACTAAGCGCTGCCGAAGGCCCTGCTCTCGTAAGAGGCAGGCAGCGCACACGTGCGTGCACCCCGGCTGCGGCAAGAGCTACACCAAGAGCTCGCACCTAAAGGCGCACCTGCGCACGCACACCGGTGAGAGGCCACCCTGGGGCGGGGCCGGGAGCCCAGCAGAGCTAGACAGCAGGAAGCGGAAAGCAGAGGGTGGGCTTGGAACGGCAAAGGCGTGGCTAAAAGTGGTCAGAGAGCAGGGGCGGGGCAGAAGAGGGAGGATCTTGAGCCTCAACCACTCAGTCCAGGCCCGAGGGTCTAAAGGTTATTGTCTAAAGGCAGTGAGGCCGGGCGAATCCCAGCACTCCAGAGGCAGGGGCAGGTGGAACTCTGTGAGTTCGAGGCCAGCCTGGTCTACATAGCGAGTTCCAGGTCAGACAGGATTGCATAGTGAGATCCTGTTTCAAAAAATAAGAAAATAGAAAGAAAAAAGAGGAAGTGGGTTCAGAAAGGACCTGGGAAAGAAACCTGGAGAACATTTCAGGGGTTTCAGGGCTAGAGGCTGATGTGTAAAACCTGGGCCCGAGGTTGGAGGAGTAGCAGAAAACAGGCAGGAGGGGCGGGGCTAGAGGAGAGGTTGCGGGGAGGGTACAAGCTTGGATTGCCAGGGCTCAGGGCATAGCCTACCGGTATGTGGGTGCTCGGGTTGGAAGCGAAATCAGCCATGTAGGAGTGTCTATGGTCCAGAACCGACCAGAATTGGTTTCAGGGGAAATTGATGGTGATCCCAGGCACACAGGCAGGCTGCAAAGAAGGAAAATCTGGGAGACAGGGCATAGGAAGAGAAAACGGTTCCAGGAATGGGGACAGGCGTGGACCGGGGATACACACCCAGGTCCCGGGCGCGGGAGGGTGGAGTCCAGACATAGCAGGGCTTGATCCCTGGAGGCTCAGACCAAGGCCAGAGACAAGGTTGGGCAGCAGTAGGACAGTTTGCTTGGGCAAGAAAGGGCTGGAACACAGCCGGCAGGACCAAATGATTAGGGTGTGGCCACAGAAGGACTCAGCACGGAACTATTCTCTAGGAAGAGCAGCCAAAGGTATAGGAGACCGGAAATGAGATATGCGGGACTCCAGAAAAAGGGTCAAGTCCTAGAGGGAAGGACTTTCAGAGTGAGGGCTTATTGTGTGGGCTACATATCTCACCTAAGTCTGGCACAGCAAAAGGGCAGCCCAAGAACTGGGTGGGTTGGACGGTGGTACTCATAGCTCCCCGCCCCGACAGGAGAGAAGCCTTATGCCTGCTCCTGGGATGGCTGTGGCTGGAGGTTCGCACGCTCGGACGAGCTAACGCGCCACTACCGGAAGCACACAGGACAACGCCCCTTCCAATGCAGTCTCTGCCCACGTGCTTTTTCACGCTCTGACCACCTGGCCTTGCACATGAAGCGACACCTTTGAGCCCCACTCCCGCACTCCGCACTCTGATCACACCAGGGGCTGGGAATGGAATAAGAATGGATCCACCACAGGGTTGTTTTCTGAAGGATGGGCCCTTGTTTGGACTCATGGCCCCACACATATACCCCACAGATCAAGAACTAACCCGTAGACCAACCCAAGGGGACATTCGTGGAAAACCTCTCATCCTCAGCCACAGGGAGCCACACAGACACATCTAATGGCTTCACAGACCAAGCAAGACAAATCACCAAATAAACTGACTCAGATGGACCCTCATACAAACTCAGGGGTGCCCTGGTGGCCATGTGGGGTGAGGTTTCCTAGAGGCTAGAAGGGGACTTCACATTGTTTCTGGAAGCTCCATCCCCGACTGTGAATGGTTATGGGTCCTATAAAAATTCCCCTCCCATATAAAACCAGTGTTGGCCTGCTTGTACTATTGGGGGACGGGGGCTGGAAGTTAGGAGTATGAATCCCTAAGAGGTGATACTGGGAGGCTGCACACAAATCTCTTAAACCTCCATGACTCCCTCACTTACTATGATACCCCTGTCCCCAGGCAGTGCAATCCTTACATCCATTCTCCTCCATCAATATCAGCCTATATGGAGCCCAGCGTGGTGGGACACGCCTTTAATCCCAGCACTCGGGAGGCAGAGGCAGGCAGATCTCTGGGAGTTCCAGGCCAGCCTGGTCTCCATAGCAAATCCAGGCCAGCTGGGGCTAGAGGGAGACCCTGTCTCAAAAAAAAAAACAAACAAACAAAAAACCCCCCCAAAAACCAATATCAGCCTATATGGGATGGAAAGAGGACTCAGCAGGTAAGAGCACCAGCTTCTCTTGCTGAGACCTGGGTTTGGTTCCCAGCACCCACATGGTGGCTAGCAATGGTCTGTAACTCCACTTCCAGGGGATCTGATTCTCTCTTCTGGCCTTGTTAGGCATTGCATGACATGGGTGCACTTATATACATTCATGCACAACACTCATAAACATAAAATAAAAATAGAAATTTTAAAAGAACAATCTATACACTCTTACATTTATTGTCAACCCTAGAGACACTCACAGCTGTCTGTATACTGATTATTATTATTTGGCTTTTTTGAGACAGGGCTTCCCTGTAGCCCCAGCAGAACTGGAACTAACCATGTAGACTAGGTTGGCCCTCAATCTTTTTTTTTTTTTTTTTGAGACAGGGTCTCACTATGTAGCCTTTACTGGCCAGGAACTTACAGTGATCCACCAGCCTCTGTCTAATAAGTGCTGGGATTAAAGTCATGCATCATCATACTAACCAGTCTGCCTCCTTTTAAGTACCCTCAGCCAAGGTGGGGCCTTGTGCTTTAGGCCTGTAATCCCAAAGGAGGCTTAGGCAGGAGAATTGCAAGTTCAGGATGTGCCTGGACTATAGAACAAGTTCAATGCCAGTCAGTGTGGGTAACTTATACAGACCTTGTCTCAAAAATAAAAAAAGAAAGCTGGATGTGGTAGTGCAGGCCTGTAATTCCAGCTCTTGGCAGGATCAGGAGTTCAAAGCCTGGGCTACAAAGTTCACTCTGTGGTAAATAAAGCTCTTCCAGTCTCTGCATTTCTGCCCCTGCCATAATCCAAAGTAACTCTTTGACCAGCTTATGTGGAGGACTGAAAAACATGGAAAAGGGAAAGATACAGGATGCTAGTGCCACTTAATGAGCAAAAGTGACAAGAGGTAGGCCCAGCCAGTTTGGTGGCTCCTGCACTTGTGAGGCTGAGGCTGGACGATCGTGAGTTCTAGGCTAGCCTGGGCTACAGAGTGAGATCCTGTCTTAGAAACATCAACAACAAACCTGGTAAGTGGCCCAGGAGGCTGAGGCAGGCATCAAGAGTTCCAGGCCTGCCTGAGCTACAGTGAGACCCTATGTCAAAACAGCCATCTGAGATGGCTCTGTGAGGAAAGGGTCCCTAATGTCAAGCCTGATGATCTGAATCTGATCCCTAAACACCACATGGTGGAAGGAGAGAACCATCACCATAAGCTGTCTTCTGACCTCTACTCTCATGTGGTGGCATGTTCCCACACATAAATTTAGAAAAAAAAGACAGCCCAATGTGGTTGAGCATGGCTATGATCTCAGCACTTGGGAGGTAGAGGCTGGAGACCTAGTCTACATAGCAAGAGGCAGACACCTGAGATTCTTAAAACATAACAAGCCAGGCGTGGTGGTGTACACCTTTAAAACCAGTACTTGGAAAGCAGAGGCAGGCGAATCTCTGAGTTCGAGCCCAGCCTAGTCTACATAGGGAGCTCTAGACCAGAAAGGGCTACGTAGTAAAATCCTGTCTCAAAAATAGAAACAAAAAGTAATTTCGCCTTTGTAGGAAAAGAAAACCAGCCAAACAAAACCTTAGAAGTCTGGGAAGCCTTGAAAGGGAAGAGGTGCAAAGGAAGCCGGGTTTGAGCGGCCCATTCCGAGTCCTGAGACAGCACGTTCCGAAGGGGGCGTGACCAGGGCTGGAGCCTATGGCGAGCTGCGTCTGCCAGGAGCGGTGCCCGGAGGAGCCGTCCCAAGCGAAGCCCCTCCTCCGGGGAGGTGCAGTCGCGGGTCCCAATCACCGCTCTAGGTCTTAGGGCGGAGCCTCCCGCCTCGCCTAGCCTCGACTCGGGTTCCTATCCGAGATGAGGGAAGTAGGAGTCTCAAGGAACTCGTGACCGAGCTGTCCCGAGTCCTGACACAGATTCTCTGCAGGCTGATGGCAGCGCCGACCTCACTCCTGCTGGCCGCGCTGCTGTGGGTCCCGGCCGAGGCCCTGAGCTGCTACGGAGACTCGGGGCAGCCTGTGGACTGGTGAGCTTCGGCCGCCGGACTGTCCCCTGGGGCAGCGTTGGAGTTGGCTCGGGAGCCACCGGGGATAGCTACGCTCCTCAGTGAACGCTCAGGCCCCTTCTCTTTCCCCACCTCCAGGTTCGTGGTGTACAAGCTGCCGGCCCACAGCTGGTCTGGGGAGTCCGCGTGGAAGGGCCTGCAGTATAAATACCTGGATCAGAGCTCCGGGGGTTGGCGCGACGGCATGTGGCCCATCAACAGCTCAGAAGGGGCCGTGGGCCGCAGCCTGCTGCCGCTGTACCGAAGCAATTCCAGCCAGGTGCCTGGGTGCGGGTGGAACATGGGGTGGGACTCTGGGGGGCCCCACGGGGAAGAGGGGACCGTCACGTGCCCTCTATGCATTTCCCCCAGCTGGCCTTCCTACTATACAACGACCAGCCTCCTACATCCAGCTCTGCTCCCGATACTTCTAGCCGTGGGCATACAAAGGGTGAGGCCTAGATTGATGGTCTAGGAGGGGCTCTGAATTCCTTGTCCGTTTACTCAAACTAATCTTTGACCTGCATGAGGGGTGGGGACCTGCTCTATCAAACCCTGGGCCTCCTGCCTGCACTCCTTGAAGACTCTGGGCTCACAGTAACATGGTAGCTGATGAGCTGGCTTGAGGGCTGGGCTTAAAAGCAGTGAGTGACCTTGACCTCCACCTTCTGGTTCAGGTGTCCTACTCCTAGACCAAGAAGGGGGCTTCTGGCTGATCCACAGCGTCCCTCGTTTCCCACCGCCTGCTTCCTCTGGGGCATACAGCTGGCCTCCTAATGCTCGAACCTTCGGCCAGACCCTTATCTGTGTGTCCTATCCTCTCACCCAGTTCCTAAGGATTGGTAAGTAGAATTATAGAGGTGGGATGATTCTCAGATCCTTTAAAGTAACCAGTCACACATTTCTTCCTCCTCATGTCTTCCAGGCAGGCAGCTGACCTACACCTACCCCTTTGTCTATGAGCACAAATTGGAAGGCATCTTTGCCCAGAAATTCCCTGACCTGGGGCAGGTCATTAAGGGTCACCATGTCCTGCAGGAACCCTGGAACAGCAGTGTAACACTCACATCACAAGCAGGAGTGACCTTCCAGAGCTTCTGCAAATTTGGAAAGTTTGGAGATGGTAAGCCATGATGTTGAGGGGTGAAGAGCTCTCTCTTTGCAGAGGGAGATGTCTGGTGGGCCGAGGCCTAAGGGCAAGCCACAGTAATAGCCCAGAAATCTTTGGGAACCATATTTACAAGATCAGAAAACAACCAACAGCCCAGCCAGGCAGATCACTCACACACACACACACACACACACCCCTGTAATCCCAGCTCTGTAGAAGCTGAGGTGGGAGTTCAAGGCAAGCCTCGGCTACAAAACGACCAATAGACCTAGTTTCAAATATTGGTTCTGGCTGTGTACTACATGATATAATCTGAGCCTGTCTATTCATCTGAAAAATGAGACTACTGATGCTTACCTTAATAATGGATTCTTTTGAAATAGCACATAGCATTTGGTAAAGGCTATCTTTTTAGTTTGACAGGAGGTCTCCCCGTATAATCTGGGCTAGACTCCATTTGAGATTTCATTTCGGCCTCCTGAGTACTGATGTGTACCACTTTGACTTGCTGATAAGGGTTATTTAGGTTACTGTCATTCCTAGAGTTGCTGAGGATTTAGTTGCCCTGAGGAGGCAAATGGCCTTAGGACTAGCTAACAGCCCTGCCCTTGCTCTCTTTCTTTCCTTGCAGACCTGTACTCTGGCTGGTTGGCAGCAGCCCTTGGCACCAACTTGCAGGTCCAATTCTGGCCAAATTCTCCAGGTATCCTGCCTTCCAACTGCTCGGGGACCCAACAAATCCTGGATGTGACCCAGATAGGCTTCCCTGGACCAGCAGGACCAACTTTCAGGGCCACAGAAGACCACTCCAAATGGTGTGTGGCCCCAGAAGGGCCCTGGGCCTGCTTGGGAGACATGAATCGGAACATGAGAGAGCAGTATCGGGGTGGGGGTACATTGTGCACCCAACTGCCTGCCCTCTGGAAGGCCTTCCAGCCCCTGGTAAAGGCCTGGGAGCCCTGTAGAGAGGACGACAGCAGGACTGAAACCCCAGCAGAGCAAAGAACCAAGACTCAGGGACTAGTCTGAACTTGATTTTGTGTGTGTGTATGTGTGCGTATGTGTGTATTGAATCCAAGGGCTTCCCACATGCTGTACAAGCAATGTACCACTAAACTACATCCCCAGCCCTGGACTTGAGTTTGAATCCCAACTCAGCTCCTAATTGGGAGATCTTAATATGTGACTTAATCTGACGCAGTCTACTGATTTGTAAAATGAGACACACAACCCCTCCACTAGGAATTGTCCAGGAATGAAAGAAACTCTATGGTTGAGGCTGTTAACCTTTTCTTCAGGTGGGCACCAGGGTCACAGACCAGCACTAAAAACACCTCTTTTTAACAGGCCTACAGGTAGCTGAGGCTAGGTGAGGAACAGGAAGTGGGTGGGACATAAAAAGGGTCTACTGGAAACTCCCCTTCCCTAACTTGAGTTCCACTTCCCAAAAAGCAGAGGGGCCTAGGGGTGGGACACCAGAGGTCTCCCCTTGCCCCAGGAGGAAGAGTTCACCCTAGAAGCTCATGAAGCACGAATGCACTTTATTTATATGTATACATATATATAGGCGGTTGTACAGCACAGGACCTGCGCAGCTACGGGCCTGAGGGTGCGATGCTGGGTGCCCCTTTTTTGGTCAGGCCTACTGGAGTCACAGCCTCAACAGGGGATCCGGAGGTGAGCCCCACTTCCCGGAGGGAAGTGGGTGGAGCTGGAGGGCCTGCATTTCCCGACACATTTTTTGTTGGGGCTAGAGTGGGAGTCTGGGGATCCGGGGAGAGTTTGGGGGAAACAGGCTTGGAGCGTGGCCCGCTCAGCGTGGTCCGCTCCTCTACCTCCTGCAGCACCCAGCGCTCCCGGCCCCTTGGGGCATCAGGCACCAGAGGCACCAGGGGTACAGGTTCCTTCAATCCCTTGGAGTCTGTGCCCAGAGGCTGGAGCGCCTGGGCCTTCACCCTTGGCCGCGTGGGCTCCACAACAATGGGCACCACGGGTGTGCCTGTCTCGCCCGAGCTACTGCGCCGGCCGGTCTCGTGTTCCTGCACCGGACTAAGCGCCGCCTTGGCCACTGCCCTAGCCACCCCGCCTTGGCCGTCTTCAGTTTGCACGCTCTGGTGCCGCGTGCAGCCGGAATCCCGCTCCAGGGTCCGGCTCCCGGGGGTTGTTGCGCGAGGTGGAGTGCAGGCCTCCACGCCTCCCGGAGACTCCTTCTCCTTGCTTGACGCCATTAGCCTGGGCGCGCCCTCAGGGAGCAACGGGTCCGCACCCAAGCTTAGGGGCGATTCCTGGCGGCCCAGGCGTCGCATTGTGACTTGCCGGGACGCTCCAGGACCCTCGATGGGAGGCGTCTCGCCGTCGGACTCGGCTAGGCTATGCAGAGCCAGCTCGCCGTGGAAGTCCTTGCGGAAATCCGGGTGGCCCACCTCGAGGCTGTGTTTGCGCAGTGCGCCCTTCTTGTCTGCGCCCAGTGAGGCCCCCAGCTTCTCTGCCGACTGCACTCGCTTGAGCAGCGGCGAGCGCGGCGGCTCTGCACTCTTGGGGCGCGGGCGCACGACCGGCGGTGACGAGTGCAATTTGGCTGGGAAGCTCTGCGTGGTGTGCGAACTGCCCACGGTGTGGCCCGGCAACGGTGGCGGCGACGCCTGCGTCGGGGATGGAGTGTGCGCCAGTGGCGACAGCGGGATGTTGCCGGCTGACTTGCAGCGCGCAGAGCGGTACTGGCGGTGGAGCTTCGGTGACAGCCCATGCAGGGTGCTGGGTCGGATGTGGTGCGACGCCGAGGACGCGGGGGAGTTGGGAGTGCTGGAGGCTGGGGAGCTGCTCTGGGAGGAGGCGCCTGCGGGCCAGAGGAGATGTAGTGCTCTGCGCACCACCCAGTCGGGGCCCCCTTTCCCGCGCGCAGGTGCAGAATTTACCTAGGTAGGCGGAGTCAGGCGTGGAGCGGTAACTGTGCGTGGGCGAGCGCGCCGGTAGTCCGTGCGTGGGTGATCCGGGGAGACTATCACTGGACGACAGGGACCGGTTCAGCGAGGAGAGCGAGCGGCTAGTATGCAACAGGTTTGACTGTTTTGTGATCTTCCGGAAGAGGGAGCTGCGTTTCTTGCTGTGATATAGATACCAAAGGAATCACTGTTCACTGACCCCGGAGCGCTCGGCTCCTTCCACTTTTGGACAGCAAAACAGCCTCCAAAATTACCTACTCCTGTCTAGTTCGTGCTCCTCTCCCAATAACGCACCTACCAAAGCAAAAATCTGTTCGATTCTGCATAGCTCTTCCCATTTAGGTCCCGCCCACTCGTTTCTGGCTTCCGCCAGTGTAAACTAGAAATCCCACCCAAACAGAATCAAGCTCTTCTGGTCCCGCCCTCACCCCTAGTCACTTCCTCTAGAAACTTCTTTTAGTTAGTTCACTTGAATTACTTTGATTCCTTCACTCAAACCCTCACACGGGTCCTGGCCAAATCCCCAACTACTCAGTTGGGGCTGGACAGATAGTTCAGCAGTTAAGAACACTTGCTGCTCTTACAGAGAACCAGAGTTCAGTTCCAGAACACACATCAGGAAGCTCACAACTGCCTGTAACTCTAGCCCCAATGGGTCAGATGCCCTCTTCTGACCTTCACGGGCACATGCACTCATGTGCACAGGACACATGCTATTCATAATTAAAACTCTTGCTAGATGTCGTCCAGCTCTTGGGACACAGAGGCAGGAGGATGTCTGTGAGATCGAGGCCAGGCTGGTCTACATAGCGAGTTCCAGACCATCTGGGGATTCAGGGAAATCTTTAAAACTGTGTTGGGGCAGGGGAAATGGCTTAGGGGTTAAGACTACTTAGGCTATTGTAGAAGACCTGTGTTCAGCTGCAGGCATCCAACTACCTGTAACAGGAACCCAGTGCTCTCTGGTTTCCAAGGGCACCTGCATGCATGTGGTGCACACAAACTCATGCAGGCGTAAATACACACATAAATTGTTTTAAATCTTTAAAAATAAAACCAATAAACCCTTTTGTCTTGGAGATGGGGATGTGGCTTAATGATAGAGTGTGTACCTGGAATGCACAAGAATCCCCAGCACCAAACCAAACCAAACACTTCTGGTCCCACCCAGTTTTTCCAATCTATGAGAGAAAAGTTACAGACATGCTCACATCACAAGGACATTTCTGACCATCCATACCAGTATAGTCCCATAAAATGATATCACTTAGTGGCCTCACAGGTAAGTTGTATAAATTCACTCTGTGATATTCACAGAGGGCAATCCTGGGAGGATGCATTCATGGAAATGAACCTCTGTCCCTAAGTAATATGTGACTGCATTTCTTTTCCTCTTTCTTTTTTCTAAAACAAAAATTATTTCTTTTTATTTTATTTTGTTTTTGGTCTTTTTGAGACAGGTTCTCCCTGTAGTCTCAGCTGGTCTGGAACTTGCTCTGTAGACCAGGCTGGCTTTGAACTCACAGAGATCCATCTGCTTCTGCCTCCCAAGTGCTGGGACTAAAAGGGTGTGCCACCACACCCGGCTGTCTTTTTATGTGTATGGGTGTTTTGCCTGCATGTATGTAAGTGCACCCTTGTCGTACAAGGTCCCTGAAGGCCAGAAGAGGGTATCTGATCCCCTAGAACTGGAGTTACAGATGGTTGTTAGCTGCCATGTGGGTGCTGGGAACTGAACGTGGATCCTCTGCAAGAGCAGCCAGTGCTCTTAGCCACTGAGCCCTAGCAGTTTTTTGTTTTTGTTTTTTAAATGAACAGTGGTGGCACACACCTTTAGTCCCAGCACTCAGGAGGCAGAGGCAGGTGGATTTCTGTGAGTTCAAGGCTAGCCTGGTCTATATATTGAGTTCAGGCCAGCTGGGGCTACAGAGAGACCTTGTCTCAAAAAGACCCCCCCAAAAAAAGATTGAAATATACAGTGCATTGTTATTAGCTACAGTCACTTTTTTGGCAGTATTGAGTCTTGAACCCAGGGCCTCCTGCCTGTTAGGCAGGTACTCTACTGCTGAGCCACATTCCTAGTAGCCCCTCTTCATTTTTAAGCCTTTTAAAAAATTATTTTCTATTTATTTATTTGGGGGAGGGTCTTTTTCAAACAGGGTCTTCCTGTAACCCCAGCTGGCCTGGAAATTTATTTCTTTTTATTTTATTTTGTTTTTGGTTTTTTTGAGACAGGTTCTCCCTGTAGTCCCAGCTGGTCTGGAACTCGCTCTGTAGACCAGGATGACCTCAAATTCAGAGATCCACCTGCTTCTGCCTCTCAAGTGCTGGGATTAAAGGCGTGTGCCACCATGTGGACTCTTTTTTTTTGTCTTTTTGAAGCAGGGTCTCCCTGTAGCCCCAGCTGGCCAGGAACTCACTATGTAGACACAGGCTGGCCTTGAACTCATAGAGATCCACCTGCCTCTGCTTCCTAAGTGCTGAGACTACCATCCTTTGCTACCACACCCAGCCTTTTTATTTATTTTTATGTGTATGAGTGTATTCTGCATGTATGTAAGTGCACCTGTGTCATGCAATGCCCTTGGAGGTCAGAAGAAGGTGCTGGGAATTTGAACCCAGGCCTTCTGTAAGACAGTCAGTGCTCTTAGCTGTTGAGCCAACCCCTCTTTCTTCCTTTTAAAACCATCATACTATGTAGCCCATGCTAGCCTCAAACACACATCTACCCTCTCACCTCAGGCTTCCAAGTGCAGGAATTACAGGCATGTGCCACCCCACTGGCCCACTTAACTTTATTTCAGTTGGCTCTGTCTTACCTGACATGCTCATTCCAGTAGAAACCTCTATCCCAGCTCCTCCATAGTCCTGTCTACACAGTTCTAACAAAGCAAGACTATCTGCTGGATTACCCCCCAATTCAACTTTAAAAATTTTGTTTGGGGCTGAGAGATGGCTCAGCGGTTAAGAGGACTGACTGCTCTTGCAGAGGACCCGGGTTTGATTCCCAGCACTCACATGGTGGCTACAAACCATCCTTAACTCCAGGTCTGAGAGAATCGGAAGCCCTCTTCTGGCGTCCAAGGCATTGCATGACACGGGTGCACTCACATATGTGCAGGCAGTACACTCATACACATAAATAAAAATAATAAAATATTGTTTAAAAATTTGTTATTATTTTAAGTTATGTGTATGGGGAGGGTGCTGGGTGTGTATGTGCACATGAATGCAGATGCCTACAGAGGCTGGAGGCATCAGTGTACCCTGGAGCTGGAGTTACATGCACTTGTGAGCTGCCTGATGTGGGTTCTGGGAACCCAGCTCAGGTCCTCTGCAAGAGCAATATGTGCTCTTAACCACTGAGCCATCTCTCAGGCCCCCACTCCTATTCTCCCTTTTATTTTATTTTATTATTATTATTTTTTTGTCTTTTTTAAGACAGGATCTCCTTGTAGCCCCAGCTGTCCTGGAACTCACTATGTAGACCAGGCTGGCCTCGAACTCACAAAGATCCTCCTGCCTCTGCCTCCTAAGTGCTGGGATTAAAGGCCTACCACGCCTGGCCTTGTTTTGTTTTTTGAAACAGGGTTTTCTTGTAGCCCCAGGTGGCCTCGCTGTGTAGACCAGGCTGGCCTTGAGCTCACATAGTTCAGCCTGCCTCTGCTTCCTGAGTACTGGATTAAAGACATGAGCCACCTCGCCCAGCTCCAGTTCCTTTAAATTTTGTTTTTAAGATTCATTTTTAATTACGTAAGTGTGTATGTGTGGACACACCAATCCAATTTCTTTGAACAGTGCTCTCTCAGGTCCACAGCTGCCAGCCCACCTGCTCAAGACCCTCCCACAATGCTGTTCGCATAGTTTGCTTTTCCCGGCCCTCCCACTTTCCCAGCCCCTCATTTTGCATTCTGTCTTTGCCCTACCCGCCTTTACCGAGTACTTTTTCTTATGACTTTACCGGTGCCCCTCCTGCTTTAGCCCTGCCCACTGCTCAAAGATAGTGCCTATGGTCCTGCCCACCTCTCCTGGCCATCCTTAGACGAGGGTCTCTTGTTCCTCCGAGCCATTTTAGCTTTGTAGCTGCTGCGCCTGGCGGGCCCAATGCGGATGGAGGTGTTTTCGAAGGGTGTCGTGGTCACAGCCACCTTGTTGCCGCTCTGGGAGAAGGTAGGGAACCCAGTTGTTGGAGGCTGCTTGGGCCTGCCCTGCCTTCCACCCAGCGCAGACCTTCCACTACACTCACCTTAAGGATCAGCTCTACCACCTCAGGATGCACCATGCCATGCACCGGCTCGCCGTTCACGTGCGTGATGAGGTCCCCAGCACAGAGACCCGCCTCTTGGGCTGGGCCCCCTTCCTCCACATGCTGGTGATGGGAAACCCCACAGGAGCATGGTTGAGGGATTGAGAAGAGAGAAAGCTCCATAGTACATGTGCCAGACAGCCTGATTCTTTCTGAAATAGCCAATATTCTCCCCATTGTACCGATGAAAAAACCGAGGGTCAGAGAGCCAAGTGAAAGAGGGAGTTACAGGGGACCCTACCCCCACCCCCAGTCTGCCTAGCTTCAGACTCCACACTGTTCTTCATCCCAAGAGACCTTTCCCACACACACCAGCCCATGAGCACTCACCCAAACAATGTGGTGAACACTGTAGACATCCGAATCGCCCATGTAGACGCGGATGGCACGCAGCGTGAAGCCGTATTTTTTGCCTGAGCGTTGGATGGTGATTGGGGAACGGAGGCCACTGACAGCAGGTGAGTAGTCCCGGCTGGGTGAAGAGTCCCTCGAGGATGGGTTGGAGGAAAGGGATCGAGGGGACATGGGACTAGCAAGGGGTGAGCTTCCATGTGGGTCCACTGCAGACACAAAACCATGGTCATAAGTCAGGGCCAAAATTATAATACATCTGCTCCTCAGTCATTTCAAGTCAAAGCTGAAGCCAATCACCATGGACAGGGAAAATGCAACCGTCTAGGCAGAAAAGCGGATAGCCCCTTCACTAGTGGGTGGGGCCCAGCTTTACCTGCAGGAATCATGACGGATAGGGCAGTCGCTGAGGCTGACTTGATAACTTTGCCCCCAGTTCGAGAAGGTCGCTTCTCCACCGAAGGATCTCCAGACAGCTGCTGGTGGCGCACCCTTCGCAGAACTAGGTCATTGGTGGCCCTAGGGCCTGATGGATCCCCATCCTTTGAGAGTGTGCAGAGGTCACCTGGGCATGTGTGCTCAGCTGCAGCGGACAGCAAATGGGTTAGGGACCAGTTGAAGGCCAGGGACTTGTCACATGCTACTCCCTCTGCCTGGAATGATCTTCCCACTTCTCTTGCTTACTGGATTGGGAGTTTCAATGGAGCAGGTCACAGGTACTTTTGGCACAGCTTCTAACACAGAAAAGCACCGTGTGTCTGTCTGTTGGATTGAATGCCTACATGTCATACTGGGTGTATGAGTGTATTGCCTGTATGTATGTGAGTGCACCCGTGTCGTGCAATGTCGCAAAAGTCAGAAGAGGGCGTCGGATTCCCCTGGAACTGGAGTTAAGAACGGTTTCTAGTTGCCATGTGGGTGCTGGGAATCGAACCTGGGTCCGCTGCATGAGCAGCCAGTGCTCTTAACCCGTGAGCCATCTCTCCAGTCCGCGTGCTTGCTTGCTTGTTTTTTTTTTTTTTTTTTTTAACATAGCCCAGACCCGCCTGAAAATCGGAACAATTCTCCTGTCTCATCCCTACTCCTCCGAGATAGAATTACAAGCTTGTACTAGCACTTCTGACTGAATGTTTTGTTTACGGAATTCAAGGCGTGCTAGACCAGCGTTCTACTGTCGAGCCACGCCCCCTGCAAATCATTGCTGGGCTCTAGGTAGGCTCTGTGCCTCTGGGTCATGCCTCCAGACCCTAATTGGAGGATTCTAGGCAGACACAGTACCGTTGAGCCACGCCCCCGGCCTCTCCTAGGCAGGTGCTCTACCATTAAACCCCACCCGACCCGGCTAGGTGTTCTCAAGGGTAAAAACCTCAATTGGACTGTTAATAGTGTCTGAGATCTTGCATAAGCAGTACCATGCACATTGAATGGGTGCTCAATATACCTTCCCTGAGAAGTTGGGAGGGATCTAGAGAGGGCAACTCACTGGTCTCGGGGTCCCCAGCCGTGGGGGTGCCTTCTTGAGCCGTCTCTTTGGGGGCTCGCGTCTCCAGTGAGCCTGAAGGATCGGAGCTGGGCCGGGGAGGCCTGCGGAGCCGGACTTCATCTTCGTCCTCCTGAGGAGCATTGAAGCGGCTGGGCTCCAGCAGCGCCGAGAAACGTCGGCGCGCTCCTAACGGAGGACTGGCCTCCCCCTCCAAGAAACAGGCCTCGGAAGCGGAGAAGCGCTTGCTGCGCGGAGGGGGCGTGGTCAGATGAGACACTCCCATTTGATCCTGCCCCGAAGCCTCTCCCAACTCCTACTTACATCTCTGGGGAGCCCCCTCTCCAGGTCTTCTCTCGCAGAGTCAGGCCACCCAGTCCCTCCCGCTTGCCGGCTACCTTCTCCTCTGAGCCCTTGGCGCTTGGCTCCCTCTTGGTCGCCCCCGATGTTGATACGGGGGTCTTGGGCTCATGTTGTGACAGCTGCTCCATACTGCTGTACACCTTCAAGTGAAGCAGGGGGTGGAAAGCCACCTTCACTCGAAAGCCAGTCAGTTTCCTGCCACTGGGTGGGCACAAACCACACTCCATCCTCCATGGGCCTAGCCTGCACTATTCTGAGCTAGTCCTGAATTACCTTGTAAGGAATTCTTCCTGTCCCCGTCCATAGTCAAACCTGCATTGTTCTAGACCTGGCCCCTCCAGTTCCCTGATCAGTGTGCTCTCTATGTAGCCCCACCTTCCCAGGTCTTCCTTCAGTGTATGTCTGTTGGCAGCCAGGGTACACCTCAAACCCTTCTCCGATATACTCTTTAAGGTAAAACCTTACACAGCTTTGCCACACTCCTGCACTCATCCTCATTCTCTGTGTTGACTCACTGCCAAAGATCTGTCCCATAAACCCCCACCTTGCTCCCCCCAGGCCTCTCTGCTCCCTAACTCCTTTCAGGAACTTTCCAAACTGAGACCTCCAGTGATGTCTGGGACCCGGCTTCCCACAGGCCTTCCAGCCTTCATCTGGCTCCATGAAGCCCATCTCCATCTGGCTCCACACCAAGCCCAGCCTTGGCCCACCTTGCTGAAGCGGGGAGAGCAAGAGGAGAACTGGCGGATCTCCACAGGTTCTTCCTCGGTGGTGTCATCCTCATCATAGGAGTTCACATGGTGATACCTGTCTGACCGGGCTGAGAAATGGAGTGTGGGCTGTGACTGGGAGCGCAGGTTGATTCCACAACCCTCTTCAAGTCAGGCCTGCAGTGTAGGCCACTTCTCCATCTGCTACAGGTTCTCCCCTCATTCTCCCAGTCTTCCCTCTTCCCATAACCAGGGAGGTCACACTCTCTAATAGCCCACTAAACTCTGGCTGTTGTAGACCACCACATTCCATAGCCCCTTTTTGGTTATAGCCCTGTATCTAGCCCAAGTCCAGACACTCCTGTTGAGCCTCCACCCTGTTCAGTACCAATCTTTACCCAGTTCTTAGCATTGCACTGCCCCCAAGGCAGACCAGACACATCCCAGGAGGCCATACCCCAGAAGCTACTTGGGTTTGGGGTTTTTTTTTTTTTTTTTTGTATTACTGGGATAAAAACCTAGGTTCACCTTTGAACTACTTCCCCTAGCCTTCTTTTCACTTTTCTATTCATTTGTTTGGGTTTTGATTTTTTTTTTTTTTTGGTCTTTTTGAGACAGGGTCTCCCTGTAGCCCCAGCTGGCCTGGAACTCACTATGTAGACCAGGCTGGCCTTGAACTCACAGAGATCCGCCTGCCTCTGCCTCCCAAGTGCTGGGATTAAAGGTGTGTGCCACCAGGCCTGGCTTGGGTTTTGATTTTAAGATATTTTTAATTATGTGGGCATGTGTGTGCACAGATGCCTGGAGAGGCCAGAAATGGGCCCTGAATCCCTTAGAGATGGAGTGAATCACCCGCTGTGGATGCTGGGAATCAAATTCAGTCATGTGCAAGAGTAGCAAGAGCTCTTAATCACTGAACCATCTTTCCAGCCCCTGTTTGTTTTGAAGACAGCCTGGTGTAGTCCCAGGTAGCCTGGAAATTGATCAGTAACTAAGGCTGATTTTGAACTTTCTTTATATATATATATTTTTTAATTTACTTCTTGGAGAGTTGTTTCTGGTTTTGTTTTTTGAGATGGTGTCTCCCTGTAGCCCCAGTTGGCCTGGAACTCACTATGTACACCAGATTGACCTCAAATTCACAGAGATCTGCCTGACTGCATCTCGAGTGCTGGGAATAAAGGTGTGCCAAGCTATTTTTATTTTTTGTGTATAAGTGTTTTGCCTACATGTATATATGTGCACCATGTGCATGTCTGGTGCCTGAAGAGGCCAGAAGAGGGTGTTGACTCACCTGTAACTGTAACTAAGGACATTTGTTAGCCCCATGAGAGTGCTGAGAACTAAACCTGGCTGGGTTCTCTGCAAGAGCAGCAAGTGCTCTTAACCGCTGAATCATTTCTTCTTCCCCTGACCTTGAACTCTTGATCCTCCTGCTTCTGCCTCCCAAGGTCTATGATTACAGACATTTGCCACCACACTCTGCCTCACTCTTTTTTTTTTTTTTTTCACTTTTTAAGACACAGCTTCACTCAATTTCCCAGGATAACCTTGAACTACACTTGTAGTGCAAGTGGGTCTCAGCTTCCTCAGTATGTGCAATGACAGGCCTGTGCCACCAGGCCTGACCAGTTTCAGTTTCAGGCTTTTCATCCTGACACACACTTAGCCAGCCCATCCTAGTCCTTGCGCTCCCATTCTCTACCCAGGCCCAGCTTCCTGTCCTTCTCCTCCCCACAACTCACTGTCAAAGTAGCTGGTGTCATCTTCTGACTCTAGGTGGGGGATGAACTCGGCCTTTTGCCTCAGCAGCCCTGTCCAATCCAGGTCTCGGAAGAAACTATGCTGCTTCACTTCAAAGGCACCACCTTGGGAAGCAGGGGATTCAAGGGACACCTGATGACCTGCCTGCAAACCACCTTTCAACCCCACTTCCACCCTCATACCCCAGCACAAGCTGGAACAGAACCTTGCTTCCCAGACCTCGGCTATCTGTGTGGAAGACTCTTTACCTGCCCCAAGCCGGACCAGGGGGTTGGTCTGCAGAAGGCTAGATATCAGAAGCTGGGCATCTGTAGGCAGGGCCTCATCCCCCTCGGGCCACAGGATGTCATCTGCCAAGCAAAATGAAGCTGAGAGGTCTGCCTAGGCTGCCCATTTCCCCACACTCCCTCCTGTCCACCTAAGAGGCACATACCACTGATAACTTGTCCAAAGAGCTCTTCTGGGGTGTCCCCAAAGAAAGGCACACAGCCAACCAGGAACTCGTAGAGTATGATCCCCATGGCCCACCAGTCCACTGGCTTGCCGTAGCCCTGGCGCAGGATGACCTCGGGTGCGATGTACTCTGGGGTCCCACACACCTGGGGGCAGGCGGTCAGCCTGCACCCTGGCCACAGGAAGGGCCTCAAGGGAGAGCTGTGCCCCCCACCAGGCCCTGAGCCCCTGAGGTTCTTCCAGGTGACTCCACCCTGGGTGACCCCCATGCCCACCACACACCTGTTTGTCCAGGAACTCCCGGGCGTCCTTCTCTATGTGACCTTCATATAAGTTGGTGGTCAGGCTCATGAGCCCCATCTTGGAGAGGCCAAAATCCGTGAGTTTGATGTGGCCCATGGAAGTGATGAGGAGGCTGCAGACACAAGGGAGTTTCAAAAGCAAGGCCAATGCCCTTCATCCCTGTACTTTCAAAGGAGCAGGGAAGGAAAAGTAAGGCAGGTCAAAGCTCACTTGTCTGGCTTGAGGTCACGATGCACAATGCCGTAGTTGTGCAAGTACTCTAGTGCCAGCACTGTCTCTGCAAAGTACATGCGGGCCATCTCTACAGGCAGTGCCCCAATGTTCTTCAGTAGGGTGGCACAGTCACCACCTGCAGGTGAGGAAGGGCACATTTGATGAGGGAGGACCCCTGCCCCCAAAGTCAAGCATACAACATGAACCATTTCACCAGCTTCATTGCACCAGTTTTTCAGGCAAAGAAAACTGAGGCTTAGAGCTGGGGTTCTCCCTAAGTCTCACAAGGAGTTGCACTGTTCCCTGGAGTTAACAGCATTTTCTGAAGTTGGTAACATCAGACCATTTTCTACATAAAGAACTGCAGACTCAGAGATAGGGTCAATAAAACTAAAATAAATAAATAAAAATTTTAAGTTATTTTTATGTGTAGGAATGTATTGCCTGCATGTAAGCACACCCATATCATGCAGTGCCCACAGAGGTCATAAGAGGGTGTCGGACTCCCCTGGAACCCGAGTTATTCATGGTTGTTAGTCACCAAGTGGGTGCTGGGAATTGAACCCAGGTCTTCTGCAAGAACAGCCAGTGCTCTTAGCCATCTCTCCAGCCCCAATAAATAACATTAAAAACAACAACAACAACAACAACAAAAAAACAACCTAAGAATGAGCACAATCCTTGACCTCTGAAACTTGAGGTTAAGAATCTTGTTTTCTTTGAACAGGGTCTCCTTGTAGCCCCAGCTAACTTGGAGCTCGCTATGTAGACCAGGCTAGCCTCAATCTCAGAGATCTTCCTGCCTCTGCCTCCTGAGTACTGGAATTAAAGGTGCCACTATGTCTGGCTGGGTCAAAAGTCTTAAAATGTAGATTCATAACCTCCCCAGGTAATGTCTAAGCCACATTGTTATTTGGTAGTGGTGTGGATTTAACCTAGGGCCTAGTGCATGCTTAGCAAGCAGTCTACCACTGAACCACACCCCCTCCCCCTCACTGGAGGGGAAGCATAGCCGGAAGATATTGCTGAATCACACCCCAGCACCAACACTGGTATTTTAGTCCCCCAAATATCCACTCTCCCTTGAGTGTACAGGGGTAGATTTCACTCAAGGGACAGCACCTAGGTGAACAGGTAACCCAGGTCATTCCAGGAAGCAGCCCAAGTTTCAGCTCTTTTTTATGAACAGTGCTCTCACTCCTGGACATAACCTGAGATCCGCAGCCTTCCTACACTGGGGCACATCAGGAGGAACCTGCATATGGGAAAGCAGTGCCAAGAGATGGAGGACTTCCCGATAGCTTGGGAAGAGCACCTGAATGCAGCATCCCTGAAGGTAGTGTGGGCTCTCCATCATATGAGTTAAGATATTTATTATATACTATAGAAAAAGATAGATGAAAGGACTTGGATGAGGACTTGGTTTAAACCCTAACACTGCCTCAAAATACATAAACATGGAAAATAAATGTAGAATATAAAGTGTGCAAAGTGTGAACATTAATGCGTTTTGGTTGTTTTTGTTTTGAGCTAGGGTCTCACTATGTTCCACTAGGTGGTGTGGAACTCACTATGTAGACCAGGCTGGCCTTGAACTCACAGAGTTCAGCCTGTTTGCCTCCCAAGTGCTGAGAATTGAGTGTGTGCCATCAAGTCCAGCTAAACCATGAGCTCCAGTTAACAATAATGTATCAATATTGACTCACCAGCTGTAATAATTCCACCGTACTAATGTATGCAACATGGAATAATATAGAGACTAATATAATAGGGAAATAGGACCATGGGAGAAAGGAGGGAGGGGCCTGTGGGAATTTACCAACTTTTCTGTGAATCTGAAACTCCTCTTTAAAAACAAAGCCTAGCCAAAAGTGGTGGCGCCTGCCTTTAATCTGAGCACTTGGGAGGCAGAGGCAGGTGGATCTCTGTGAGTTCAAGCCCAGCCTGGTCTACATAGTGAGTTCCAGGCCAGCTGGGGCTACAGGAAGACCCTGGCTCAAACAAACAAACAAACAAATAAATAAAATGAAGTCTAAGAGCTAAACAGATAGCTCAGTGGTTAGGACTGGCTGCTCTTGCAGAGGACCCAGGTTGGGTTCCCAGCACCCACATGGCAGGTAACAACCATTTGTAATTTCAGTTCCAGGGGAGCCAATGGCCTCTCTGGCCTCCATAGGCATTGCATGCACTGGTGCACTTAGGTACATGCAGGCAAAACACTCATATAAGTAAAATAAACAAATCAAAAAAAATTAAGTAAAATAAGTAAAAATGAAGTCTAGGGGCTGGAGAGATGGTTCAGTGGTTAAGAATACTGGCTTCTTGGGGGCTGGAGAGATGGCTCAGCGGTTAAGAACACTAGTTGTTCTTGCAGAAGACCCAGGTTTGAATCCCAGCACCCATATGGCAGCTAACAACTGTCCATAACTCCAGTTCCAGGGGATCTGACACTCTCTTCTGACCTCCACAGGCATTGCATGAAATGGGTGCACTTACATTCAGGGAAAACACTCATACACATAAAATAAAAATGAATAAAATATATTTTGAAAATGAAGTATACAGCCTGGCCTAGTGGCACACACTTTTGATCCTGGCACTCAGGAGACAGAGGAAATCAAGGCCAGCCTGGTCTACATAGTAAATTCCAGGCCAGGCAGGGTTACATAGTGAGAACCTGTCTCAAAAAAAAAAAAAAAAAAAGAATGAATGAATAAATAAATAAATAAATTCAGGCATGGGAGTGAACAGGAGTGAATTTCAGCACTTGGAAAGGAAAGGCAATATATGCCTAGTCTACATAGTAAGTTCCAGGCCAGTCGGTGCTATACAGTGAGACCCTGTCTCAAAAAACAAAACAAACAACAAAAATAAATAAAATAAAATAGAAGTGAAGTATATCAAATAGTTCCACCTAAAAATAAAAGTACTACAATAGAAATGGTGCCTGTGAGATGCTTCAGTGGGTAAAGGTGCTTGCCAATAAGCCTGTTGACCTGAGTTTAGTCCCCAGAACCCACATACAGGTGGAGGGAAAGAACTAACTCCATAAAGTTGTCCTCTAATCTCCACATGTGCTGTACGGCATGTATGTGCTCATGTGCACACATACACACACTCACAAATAATAATAAATAAACTTTTTTTTATTTTGGTCTGTTTGAGACAGGGTCTCCCTGTAGCCCCAGCTGACCACCACCATGCCCGGCTAAATAAACTTTTTTTAAAAAGATTTTTTTTTAACTCTAGCATGAAGACTTGAGTCCAATCCACAGCACTCATGTAAAAAAACCAGGTGTGATGCCTTGTGCTTGTAATCCAGCACTGGGAAGGCAGAGACAGGTGGATCCCTGGGGTTAGAGTTGTGGCTCAGCAGTACATTGCCTGCCTAGACTCCACCAGTGAGTGGCTGGGAGTGTGGCTCAGCAGTAGAGAGCAGGTTTAGCATACATGAGGTCCTGGGTTCCATCCCTAGTAACCCCCCCCCAAAAGTAGAGTTATAGAGGAAGAAACACATGGACACATGGGTACATGGATGAAGGTGCGCACCTGCAGATCCAGATACTTGGAGGTTGAGGCAGGAGGATTGCTGGAACCTGGGAGTTCCAGGCGAGCTTCAGCTACATTAGAGACACTTCAAAACAATGGGAGAGAGGAGAGAGAGAGTTGGATGGATGAAGAGTAGGTGAGTAGAAAGAAGCAGATGAATAAATAGGTGCTCAGGTGAATGGGCAGAAAAACTAATGACTAGATGGATAGAAAATGCATAATGAGCAGATGTGTTTACATACTGAATAGAATACAAAGCAACTAAACAACAACAACACAACAAAAAATGCCTGAAGAGAATTGAGGATGTGAGTTCAAGGACAGCCTGGGATACTTGAGACCCTGTCTCAAAAAAAAAAGCTCCCTTTTATCTCAGCATTCAGGAAGGAGGCAGGTGGATTTCTGTGACTTCGAGGTTAGCCTGGCCTACATAGTGAGTTCCAGGACAACCAGGGCTACCAGGAAACCCTGTCTCAAAAAAGTAAGAAACTAAGAAACCTAAAGAAATAGGAATAATGAATGACAAGACTCAGGAGAATGGGGCAGAAAGATGGAGAGTCTGAAGCCAGCTTGGGCTACAAAGTGAGGCCATCTCAAAGTGAGGCTCAGTGGTTAAGAACACTGGCTGCTCTTGCAGAGGACCAGGGTTCAAATCCCAGTACCCAAATGATGGCTAACAACCTACGGTAACTCCAGTTCCAAGGGAATCCTAAACTTTTCTGACCTCTGTGGGCATTGCACAACATGGGTGCACTTATACACATATAGGCAATACACTCATAAACACAAAATAAAAAATATTTTTAAAAAATAAAAAAACAGGGGGCTGGAGAGATGGCTCAGCAGTTAAGAACATTGGCAGAAGACCAAGGTTCAAATCCCAGCACCCACATGGCAGCTAACAACTGTCTACAATAACTCCAGTTCCAGGGGATCGGACAGCTTCTTCGTCCCTCAGTGGGCACTGCAGGACATGGGTGCACTTACATACATGCAGGCAATACATGCATACGCATAATAAAAATAAATAAAAATTTAAAACTAAAAATAATAAGCAATGGACACTATGGAGAGAGAAATGGAGGGCAGGGTATATTAGGGTTGGGAAAGCAGTCATGTGGTCAATAGGGTGATGTGGTCCAGCAGTCCCCTAGGTGGCCGCACCTTCCACATACTCCATGACCATGCAGAGGTGGCGGCGGGTCTCGAAGGAACAGAACATGCCGACCACAAAGGGGTTCTCTGCGAAGGTCAGGATGTCGCGTTCCACGAAGGCCTGCTGGATCTGATTGCGGAGGATCAGGTTCTGCTTGTTAATCTTCTTCATGGCAAAGCGCTGCCGTGTGTCTCGGTGCCGCACCAGATAGACCGCCCTGCGGGGGGAGAGAGCGAGGACCGGCCATCACCTCCGGGACGCCCGGCCTCCGCCCCTCGCCCCGCCAGAGCCCCGGGTGGCTCACCCGTAGGCACCATTGCTTATGAGCTTAATGGTGTCAAAGTCATTCTCTCCAGGTGGCTTCTTGGCCTTGGCGGTGCCACTGCGACCCTAGAGGGGGAGAGTGAGACCACCACAGCACCATCATGAGAGCGGGCTCCTGTTATTCCGGAAATTCACACATGGGGAAACTGAGGGACAGAGAGGATGAATGGGTCCTTTAACCAGTTTCCACAGGGAGAAAGCAACAGCTACAGCCTGAACCCAAAACTGGCTTTGAAGACACATTTCTTTCTTCTATTAAGAAAGATACAAAACCTACAAAATGGATAACCACACTAACATGTATATGTATGAACACTTCCCCAAATTGGGGACTGTCCAGAATGGCTCAGACCTAAGCTTGTCCCCAGTCTGACAATCTGAGTTTGATTCCTGGGACCCACATGATGGGTGGAAAGAACTGACTCCCACCAAGTTGTCCTCTGAACTCCACATACGTGCACACACTCAAACAATAAATATGTAAATATAAGGCATGCACACAGATAAAATAAATGTTATAATTTTTTAAAAAAATTTAAAAAGTTCCCAGCCAGGTGTGGTGGTGCGCACTTTTAATTCCAGCACTCAGGGGGCAGAGGCAGGTGGATCTTTGTGAAATCAAGGCCAGCCTGGTCTACATAGTGAGTTCCAGACCTGCTGAAGCTACAGGGAGACCCTGGTTCACAAACCCCGCCCCAAAAAAATTTTTCCAAAAATTGGGAGCTGGTGAGATGGCTCAGATGGATGGCAAGGGGGTTAGGGTCTTGCCACCAAGACTGAAAACCTGAGTTTGATCCCTAGGACCCACATGGTGGAAGGAGAGAATCCACTCATGCAAGTTGTTCTCTGACTTCCACACTCCTGCAGGAGCACACATGCGCACACATATACAATGAATAAGTGTAAGGGACACAAAATAAATACATTTTTTGTGGGTTTTTTGTCTGTTTGTTGTGAGGGTTTTGTTTTGGTTTTTTTTTTTTTGAGACAATCTCCCTGTAGCCACGGCTGTCCTGGAACTCACCAGGCTGGTCTTGAACTCATGAGCCTCTGGCTCATGAATGCTGAGATTAAAGGCATGTGCCACCATGCCTGGCTTATAACACTTTTTTTTTTTTGGTCTGTCTTTTTGAGACAGGATCTCTCTGTAGCCCCAACTGACCTGGAACTTACTATGTAGATTAGGCTGGCCTTGAGCTCATAGAGATCTGCATGCCTCTGCTTCCTGAGTCCTGGGATTAAAGGCATGGTGGTGCACAACACAATTTTTTTTGTTTGTTTGTTTTTGAGACAGGGTCTCCCTATAGCCCCAGCTGTCCTGGAACTCACTGTGTAGACCAGGCTGGCCTTGAACTCACAGAGATCTGCCTGCCTCTGCCTCCCAAGAGCTGGGGTTAAAGGCGTGCACCACCATGCCCAGCTACAACACAATTTTTTTGAAAAATTAAAACTTCTGGGATTGAAGCCAGGTGTGATGGCGTACATCTTCAATCCCAGCACTCCAGAGGCAGAGGCAGGCAAAAAGTATGAAAAGAGGCTTAGTGCTTGCCAATCACCTGAACCTGAGTTCAATCCTCGAGACCCACACAGTCAACAAAGAAAACAGACTCCCGACAGCCATCCTCTGATCTCACTTGGGAGGCTGAGGCAGGGGGAAAGGAAGAAGAATGCCACCCTTGAGTGAGTTGGGGGGGTGGAGAGAGAGAGAGAGAGAGAGAGAGAGAGAGAGAGAGAGATGCAAAATAGGCAAATCCAGAGATGGAGATGGAGAGAAAGCCAGAGCTCCCAGGGTCTGAGGAAAAAAACTGAGTAGATTCAGTGGGTGTAACATTTCCATTCATTCTGAGTGATAAACCATGAACTAGTTAGATGTGATGGCTAGTGTGTGTATTAAATGCTACTGAATTCATCCTATGGTGGAGGGACAGCTCAGTATACCACACATGCTCACCATGCTTGACCCACAGCTCAATACCTAGTACCATCAAAAAGAACAAGATAAAACTAAATAAAATGGTGATGGCTCAGGGGTTAAGAGCACTGACTGCTCTTACAGAGGACCTAGGTTGATTCCCAGCACCCACATAGCGGCTATGAACTGTCCTTAACTCCAGTTCTAGGGGAATCTGATGCCCTCTTCTGACTTCTGCAGCATTCCACAACGGGTGCGCTCACATTTATGCAGGAAGTACACTCATACACATAAAAATAAATAAATAAAATTTTAACTCGTTTATTTATTTACTTATTTATTTGAAACAGATCTCCTAGCTTGCTTGGAAATTGTCATATAGACCAAGCTGGCCTCAATTTCACAGATTCACCTGCCTCTGTCTCCATATCTGGCACCATCTCAGTTTTTAAACACACATACACACACACACACACACACACACACACACACACACACACACAGACCCAAACAAACAAACACCATAGATCTGGGAATGAAGGTCAGTGGCAGGGCAATTGTTAGCATGTGCAAGGCCCTGGGTTCTACCCCATCACCACACACACCAGAAAAAAGCTCACGAACAAAGAACTATTGTTAATTTCACTTAAGATGGGGAAACTGAGGGTCAGAGTATGAGACTAAGAGATCCACACAACCTGGAGGCAGACAGCCTCTGGAACCTGAGTACTGATCCCCAGGCCCCAAGCCCCAGCCCTGGCTCACCTCAGAGATGTCGTCCTGCTCTGGTGTGTTAGAGCCACCACTGTCCTGTTCCTCCAGATGTACCACATCTAGGGGGAGGTGAGTGTGAGCACCCATCTGGCTGTGACACCCCAACCACTCCTTCTACCCTACCCTAGCCTGGCTGCCCCCCAGCAGTCAGCTGCTCCCCCTTCCCCTCTCCCTGACTCCTCCCTCCCACCCCTGCAGGCCCTCACACACCAGGAAAGGGGTCCCGGGTGAGGCCCAGCTGATGGATGATGTATCGGGGGATGTCAGTCTTGACGAGGTGGCCCTCCTTGGCATGTCCCTCTGCTGCCTCCAGTAGGTGGTAGAACTCCTCAGGGTTGAATTCCTGTGGCAGGGACAGGCTCAGCTTGCTGTGCCCACTGATGGCCACCCTCCCCTCATGTCCAGTCACCTCACCAGGCACTCTAGAAGCCTAGCTGGGCGAGAGATGATAATGAGCAGTTTCTTCACCAGCTGAGTGACAAAGGCCACCTCCAAGCTCTCGGAGCGTTCATAGGCCTGGAGTGGGGAACACAAGAGATTGGGGTTTACAGGCCACCTGTCCCAGCAAGGCTTCTCTCCCAGACCTGGGTCCTAAGACCCTGGTGGTCCAAAGTACATGGATTGCTGCCCCCATCCTATTTTACAGAAGAGGAAACTGAGGCCCAGGCAATATGACAGAAAATATCAAAAATAGTGATGCAAGTTCTGTCCCAAAACCTTCACTCATTCATTCATCTTTTTCACAACAGCACCATAGTCCAGTCTGAGTTAGATCACCTATATCTGGCATGGTCTCCCTCTGAATCTCTGTGTGGCTCCCTCTTTCTTCTACTTCAGGTTTTTACCTCAGTTATTACCTCCCCCAAGGTTGCCCTAACCTCTGTTCTCTCTCCTTATAAAAAAATCACCTTGGGTTGGAGAGATAGGTTAGTCAGTAAAGTGCTTGCTGTGCAAACATGATGACCTGAGTTCAAAAATTGTGTGTAGGCTGGGCGTGGTGGTGCACGCCTTTAGTCCCAGCACTCAGGACGCAGAGGCAGGTGGATCTCTGTGAGTTCAAGGCCAGCCTGGTCTACCTAGTGAGTTCCAGGACAGCTGGGGTTACAGGGAGACCCTGTCTCAAAAACAACAACAACAAAAAAAAATTGTGTGTAATGGCATGGGCTTGTAGTCTCAGTGCTTGGGAGGCAGAAGCAGGCAGATACCAGGGGCTCACATGCCTCCACCTACTGAGTGCTGGGATTATAGGTTTGTACCACCAATACCCATCTGGTGTTGGGGATAGATCCCAGGGCTTTGTGCATGCTAGGCAATAGGCAAGCACTCTACCAATGAAGCCATATTCCCAGTCTGGTTAAAGCCCATTTCTAGCATTCTATTCATTTAATCTATCACCTCCTTCTTTGTATTTATTATTATTATTATTATTATTATTATTATTATTATTTGGTCTTTTTGAGACAGGGTTTCTCTGTAGTCCCAGCTGTCCTGGAACTTACTATGTAGACCAGGCTTACTTGGAACTCACAGAGATCCACCTGCCCCTGCCTCCCAAGTGCTGGGATTAAAGGTGTGTGCCACTGTGCCTGGTTGTATTTATTATTTTTAAAGGTTTATTATTTTATTTGTGTGTGTGTGTGTATGTGTGTGTGTGTAGGCAGATGTGTGTATGTAGGTGCCCATGGTGGTCAGAAGGGGGTATTGGATCCCTTAGAGCTAGAGTTAAAGGTGTTTGGGGGCCACCCAAAGTGGGTGCTGGGATCCAAACTCTGGTCCTCTGATAGACTGGTAAGTGCTCTTGACTGCTTCCAGCCCCCATGTCTTTTTTTCAACATTTATTTCTTTTAATTTTATAGGTATGAGTGTTTTGCCAGCATGTTATGTGTGCCACATACATGCAGTATACATATAGGCCATGAGAGGGCGCCAGGTCCTCTGAAACTGGAGTTTTGGAAGGTTGTGAGGCCCCATGTGGGTGCTGGGAACCCAATTCTGCGTTCTCTAGAAGAGCAGCCAGTGCTCTTAAGTGCTGAACCATCTCTCCAGTTCCCCCCTCAGTGTCTTTCTTTTTTTGGTCTTATTGAGACAGGCTCTCCTGGTAGCTCCAGCTGGCCTCGAACTTGCTATGTAGACCAGGCTGGCCTCAAACTCCCAGAGATCTGCCTGCCTCTGCCTCCCAAGTGGTGGGATTAAAGGCGTGTGCCACCACACCCAGCCAGTGTCTTCTTAAAAAAAATTTTTTTTTAATATTTTATTATTTTTATGTGTATGGGTGTATTGCCTGCATGTATGTAAGTACACCTGTGCCGTCCAATTCCCGCTATGACAGAAGAGGCCATTGGATCCTCTGGAACTGGAGTTACGGACAGTTGTTAGCTGCCATATGGGTGCTGGGATTCGAACCCAGGTTTTCTGCAAGAACAACCAGTGTTCTTAACCTCTGAGCCATCTCTCCAGCCCCCAAAATTGTTTTTTTGGGGGGGCTGGAGATATAGCTCAGTGGTTAAAGAGCACTGGCAACTCTTGCAGAGGACCCAGGTTCAAATCCTAACATCTGTAACTCCAGTTCCAGGAGATCCAACGCCCTCTTCTGACCTCCATAGGCATTGCAGAACACAGGTGCACTTACATACATGCAAGTAATATACTCATACACATAAAATAAAAATAATAAAATATTAAAAAATAAATTTCTTCTAGTGTGTGTGTGTGTGTGTGTGTGTGTGTGTGTGTGTGTGTGTGTGTACAGGCACATACATGCCACAGTGCACATGTGGAGATCAGAGAACAACTTTCAGGAGCTGTTGCCCCTCCTTCCACAGTAGGTTCCAGGGATGGCCAGCTCTATCATGTCTCTTGAGACTTTGTTTAAGGTGAATGAGGCACACATCCAGGGGTGAGTCAGTGGTAGAGGATGTATTTAGCATTAACCAACCCTGGGCTTAATCCCTAACACACACACATACAGAGAGAGAGAGAGAGAGAGAGAGAGAGAGAATGAGAAATGGGCCAGCCAGATGATGCAACAGTAAAAGTGCTTGCTATGCAAGCCTGACAGTCTTAGTTGGATTTCCAAAATCTACAGTGGAAGGAGAGAACTGACTCTCAAAAGTTGCGTTCGCACACATGTGCGCGCAACACACACACACACACACACACACACACACACACACAATAAAGAAATAAGAGCAAATACAAAGAAAAAGGAGCCAGATGTGATGGCGCACGCCTTTAATCCTAGCACCCGGGAGGCAGAGGCGGGAGGATCTCTGTGCAATCTAAGTCAGCCTGGTCTACATAGTGAGTTCTAGGACAGCTGAGGCTATAGGGAGGCCCTATCTCAAAAAGAATGAGTGAATCACCCTTTCCACACTTTTTCTAGAACTGAGACACAGAGAGGTTGGTAGTTTTGGTAAAGCAAAACAGCAAGCAAGTGAAACCCAGTTCTGATACCAGATACACCATTCCCTCTGCTCAGTGTACACTGCTCAGTGTACCCTCCCTCTGGCTCCTACCACAGCTGCCACCTGCTATTATTCTTGTCCCAATTTCTAGGTCATACCCCGTCCCCCCAGAGAGCCTTCCTGGACCTTACAAGGGAGCTCTGATTCCCAATTGTTATTCTGTTGGCTTCCTGGCCCTAATTGTCAGATGGATTACCCTCCCTAATCTTTCTACATTTCCCAAACTAGCTTTCCAAGGAGGACAGTGATGCTCTGCTGTGTTCTCCCAGCACACAGGGAGTGCTTAATGAATGCTATCCATGATCCCTGACTTGGACAGGAATATTATTTTGTTCACTGTTTATTCATACATCCTATTTACTTACTTATAGTATGCATTTATTTATAGATAAAGTCTGGCTATGCAGCCGAGGTTGGCCTGGAACTTAGGATCCTCCTGCCTCAGCCTCCCAATTACTAGGATGACAGGTGTGTGCTACCATTGTGAGCTCATCAACACATTTAAGTAACTGTGTGTGTATGTGTGTTTCTCTCTCTCTCTCTCTCTCTCTCTCTCTCTCTCTCTCTCTCTCTCTCCTCTCTCTCGCTGGGGATGGAACCTGGGGCTAGCAAATGTTAGGCAAACTCCCCATCACAGAGTCATGGCCCTAGTAGCTTTTAAGCTGCATTTGCTGAATACATGCTGCATACTGGGCACCATGCCAGACTGCAGGGACTGTAATGTAGAACAACTCCTTTGCCCAGCTATGGGGCTGACATCAGAGCAGGGAAGCCAGGAAAGAAAATAAGTAAAAATGTACAGAATACTGTATGGTGTGTGCAGAATGTGAAATGTCACATGTACTGGGTTGGTGGTACAGGCCTGTGACCCCAGCAATTCAGGAGGCTAAGGAGGCGCAAATTCAAAGCCTCCCTTGGCTACAGAGTGAGTTGAAAGCCAGTCTGGGCAACTTTATGAGACCATGCCTCAAAAGAAAAAGTAGAAAAAGGGAACTAGGGATGTAGCTCAGTTGGTAGTGCACGCTCCTACCCTGCAGAGGCCCTGGATTTCATCCTCTACGCCCCATAAACCGGAAGTGGGAGCACATGACTAAAATCCCAGCACTCACGACGTGGAGGCTGGAGGTTCGGGAATTCAAGGTTATCCTTGGCTACACAGCAAAGTGGAGGCCAACCTGCACTGCATGGGACCCTGTCTCAAACAAAAAGAAAAAGAGAGGGAGGGGGACAAAAAGCAAACAAAAACCCTAAAGGCTGGGAATGTAGCTCAGCGGTAGAGCATTTGTCTAAAATGTTCAAGGGTTCACTGGGTTCAATCTCTGGTGGGGGGAGAGGGTGGGTATATGGGCATGGGTACTTGAGAAGGTGACACTTGCTTAAGTACTGAAGGTAAATACCGGCCTCCCCCATCTGACTAAGAGTGGGGCCCAAGCTATCCTTGTCTTCCACTCCCGGGTCTGCAGCCGCCCCCAGCGTCCGGCACGTGACAAGTGCTCCGAACCCGGCGGGGCCTGAGCGCGCGGCACTCACGTCCTGCAATAGCTTCTCCAGGTTCTCCTGTAGTTCATAGAAGTAGACGGTGGTGATGAGCCCGTCGCGGGACTTGGTCAGGCAGTCCCGTGCCAGCTCGATGATCTGGTGGTGGATGAAGCTGAGTACGCCGTCCGCCAGCGGCAGCACGCTGTCAGGTTCGTAGGCGCGGGCAAAGTCCCGCAGCTTCTCCTCCATCTGTGCGGTGGCCTGGCGAAGAGACCGATGGAGTCCGGCTCTAGGCCATGGCCGGAGCCTGCGCCGCGCTCTGACGCTAGAGGGCGCGCGGAGCCCGGCGCGCGAGAGAGTGCGAGGAGGCCTCGGGGCTCACCTTGGGGAACCGCTCCTTGTACACATGGTTCATCATCACGATTTCATTGTCGTAGGAGGAGGGAGAGCGGCCGGGGCTGCGGGGAGAGAAGCCCGTCCTGTCCAGCCCTCTGCCACCGAGCCTGCCTCCAGCGCCACTTGATTTTCCCGGGCCGAGAGTTCCCCGCCGTGCGCGAGCCCCCTAGCCCTCTCCACAGGGGAAAGTGGGTGTCTGCGCACCTGAGGCTCCGCGAGCGGGGCCGCACCGCCGGGGAGCGGCGGCCGCCATCCTCGTCCGTGATGCTCTCAGTGCTGCCGAAGTGTTTGGAAAGGAAGTGCAGCTCGTCCACCGTGGGCTGGTAGGGCAGTTGATGCAGACGCTCCTGGGAGGAACAGGAGGACTGCGGGGAGGGGCGGCGGGTCAGAGCCGCCGCGGGGACCGCACAGCCCGCGACCCTGTACTGGAACTCCCAGGGAGGATGAGTCACTGGACAAAGCCTGGATTCCCAGCCTTGCCACCTTTACATCCTGACCCAGAGACCTGCTTGGGACTGCTGGCGACAGACAGGCAGACAGGGCCACACAAGGATGGAGACAGTGACAGATGTGACCAGAGAAGTGACCAGAGGGCGCCTGAGACGACTTAAGCTAGGTCTTGTACTTCCTCTGTTTCGAACCCTCCATGAGGGCTAGGGGTGTGGCTCAGTATTATAGCGCTTGTCTATCTTGTCTGCCAGAGTCTGGGTTCCACCGCTACTAAGGCGAACAAAAAAGTCTGGTATGGCGTGCACACCTGTGATCCTAGCACTACTGAAGAGGCTGAGGCAGGAGGATGGAATTCAAGGTCAGCCTGGCTTACACAGTGAGATCTTATCTCAAAACACCAAGGGGATGGGGCATATCACTGTGGAGCCATCCATGGGAATCGAGCAGCTAGTGCTCTTTAACCCCTTGAGCCATTTCTCCATCTCTTTTTAAAAATTAAAACATATTTTGTTATTTTTATTTTGTGCGTGGATGTTTTGCCTGCATGCATGTAAGTGCACCTGTGTCATGCAATGCCCATGGAGGCCAGAAAAGGGCACTCAACCCCTGGAACTGGAGTTATGAATGATTGCTAGTCACCATGCAGGTGCTGGGAACTGAACCTAGGTCATCTGCAAGGACAGCTCTTAACCACTGAGCCATCTCTCCAACCCCTCTTTGCTTTGCTTTGCCTTTCTCCTCTCTTCTCCTCTCCTCCTCTCTTCTCCTCTCCACTTCTCTCTCTCTCTCTCTCTCTCTCTCTCTCTCTCTCTCTCTCTCTCTCTATGTTGGGGATCAAACCCAGGGTCTCATGCTTACAAGACACTCTACCAACTGAGGTATTTTTCAGGTATTTCTTTCATTTTTCTTCCCCCACCAAAGTGTAGGGGAAGAAACAGGGTCTCATATAGCCTAGACTGGCCTTGAACTCCTGATGCTCCTGCCTCAGGCTCCCCAGGGCTCATGTCCCCACCAGCAGCTATATAACACAAGGATACCTCCACATTTTAGATGTGTCAAGTTTTCTGAGGCCCTGGGGGGTTAGCCTATGTTGCTCCCTTCCAGAACACCCTTCTTTCTCTCTTTTACCTGCCAAATTCAGGCTGATCCTTCATCTTGGCTTCAGTGCCACTTCCTCCAGGAAGCCTTCCTTGATACCCCCAGCCAAGTCACATGATCAATGCCTGCTAATCATCACAGCAATGGATGGATGAAGGAACAAGGGGGTAGATGGAAAGAGAGATTTTGAGGGTCCAGTGGGTTAGCAAATAAGCTCTGGGTAGCAGCTCTTGGTGGTCTGGCCCTGGCCATCTAGACACTTGGACATACATATGTTTGAAACCCCTGAGGCTTTATGTCACCATGTATAATGAGATATTTATAGGATCCCAGAAAGATGAAATGAGGGCAGAGACTGGGGCTGTGGAGACGACCTGTATCCTCCAATGGATGGACAAATGGACACCCATTGAAACCTCAAAAGTCCAGCTGGAACTGCTGGTTTGGGTGTGGTCCCTTCAGCCCCTACTCACCCATCTGTCCACCCACACACACTCACCGACACAGTGGAACTGGGTGTGTTGGTGCCATAGCCAGAGGAAGGGAGTGAGGCCAGCGACCAGCGACGTCCATCAGCCCTGGAAGCCAATAAAACTGCTCAGAGGATACCAGGGGTCTCCTCAAATCCTCAGGGGACCAGAGAAGTCACTGGCCTTGGCCAGTGTTGGGGTTGGGGGGTGTTCAAATCCCTGGGGCTTTCAGGATGAAGAGGGAAAGATGGTGTCGTCTAGTCAGGTACCAGAGTCTTGGAGGAAGGATCCATCTCTTTGGAGTTTCCCATGATCTTCCCTTGTTTGGTACCATTGTCTTACCAAACAAACCCTCTAGAGTGGTCATTGTGGGGGACTGGGGAAGCCCATCCAAAGGGTGAGCAGAGAGTGGCACTCAGCAGCAGAGAGCTTGCCTAGCATGTACAAGGCCCTGGGTCCAATTCCTCAGTACCCTAACTCATAACAAAATAACAGAAAACTCATCCAAGGAAATCACCCCAGAAGTCCACCTCCGGGGAGCTCTCATGAATAAGCTCTCAGAGCAATCCCTGAGTTCCTCTCAGAGAAGAAACCCCACCTTCTAACAGACCAGCTGACAACATTCTGGGTCCAACACTCTCATGCACACTGATCACTGTCAATCACAGCCACACACACTCATGTTCTGTGACTAGTGTGGTCAAGTTCACAGACTGAGCCTGGTGTGGTAGAACATGGCTGTAATCCCAACACTTGGGAGGTGGAGACAGAAAGATAAAAGGTTCAAGGATAGCCTAGACCTGAAACCTTGTGTCAAAAAACAAAGCAGGGGCCAGTGAAATGTTCAGCAGGTAAATGTGCCTCAAAGGCCTGATTAACCTGTTTTGATCCTCCCCGCAACCCACAGAGGAAGGAGAGAACTGACTCCTGAAAGTTTTTCTCTGATCTCCACATGAATGCCACAGCATGCATGCACCCACACACATACACACAAAAAAATATATATAAATAAATAAATGTAAAAATTTGTCAGAAAAAAAAAGATGTGGCAAATATCTCCAATTCCAGCTACTTGGGAAATACAGGCAGGAGGATCAAGGAGTTCAAGGTCATCCTCAGCCACGTAAATAGTTCAAGGCCATCCTGGGCTACATAACTATATTGCAGAGAGAGAGAGAGAGAGAGAGAGAGAGAGAGAGAGAGAGAGATTTGAGACTGGGTCTTATGTAACCCAGGTTGCCTCAAACTCACTCTGAAGCTGAGGATGGCCTTGAATTCCTGACTCATTTCCATCTCTCAAGGGCTGGGGTTACCAAATTAGTTACATTAAAAAAGTTTCCTGTTCTCTAGCTATTTTCTGGCTTTACATTTTGTATTCACTATTTTTACTTGAAAACCTATGCCTGAATCACAGTAATCTGAATTATTTATAATCTATGTTGATTTGTTGATTCTTCATGTTGTGTTGGGAACCTGGG